AACATTAAAAACATTAATAAATAGAATTAGTCCAACTAATAATCACAGACTAGGATTAGTATTAATACTGTTACAAACAATAATCAAAGCAGCAGATTATATTACATAACCAGAAAGAGTACCAAGAGCATTTACTGAAAAAACAGTAAAAGAACAAGAGAAGATTGCACTACAAGTATCAGATTACTACAGTTACTTTAAAGCAATGCTAAAAGGAATCTGTAACCACTTTGATACAGAAAATGCTAGTAACAATTATATTCCCAACCCAATAGGACATATTTTGCATAAAATATTATTTAGTATTCTCTCAGAACATTTAGATCGAAGACAATTTTTGACACCTCAAGTGTATAGACATAATAAAGAAGAATCAGCACAAACTGAAATACAAGGAAGAGATATTGAACAAGTATATAATATTGGAACACCATATACACTTTGGAGATTTCTATATAAATACTTCACAAAAAGAGAAGAAAACAAAAATGAAAATACAACATGAAGTTACAACAATCTTATTTATAAATATTACCGAACCAAAAATATTATTGAAACAATGATTTGATAGTTAACAAGCATTTTATTTATATTTTGATGAAATAACAACAATACAACTACCTAATGCCTACCCAGAAACAACTACAATAATCGAAACTCAGACTACATTAAATAAAATAATTGCACAACACTACTTGCTAGAAGTAACTATAAACAAATACCTACAAAATTATGGGAAGAACAGTAATTTAGAAATGATAATACATATATACATATATCTGTATACAGGAGGAGAACTAGATATTAACTGGCAAACCAAATCCTACTACCATTGGAGTTGGCACACCAAGAAACAAGTTAATACTCTGAATTTAATACCTGATCTATGAAGCAATATTGATACAATATTTAATATAATAATAGCATACAAAGCTATTAAGAAAATATAAATGAACCAACCAAAATCGGACTATGATTCTGATAATGAACCTGGACAAATCTATATACAACCTTATAACAACTCCGAAATGCAAAAATTGGAACAAGACCTAAAAAATTGTAAAATATAC